TTTTTTAAGCAGCTCCATAGCTGCTGTATATGATACACCAACTATTGGTAGACTATCAATAAGTTGGAGAGACTCGTTCCTTAAATATCTCTTCAGGAAACATAGCTTCTGGACATTCGACAGACGATCATCTTTGTGCACCATCGCCTCGAACATTTCAATAAATGGCTTATTACGCAGATATGTCTTTTCCATCGAATATATATCTAGCGTAGCAAGAACCTTTGCGCCATATTGTACCTCGTTCATTTCGGCGGATGTTATCAATATCTTTGCTAAGGCTGTTTTGAAGATGTTGTATGCACACAGCTAGCTCTGTAAAACGGGATTCCATGTCCTCATCGTCTATGTTGTCATCTAATAACTGCATGTCTACAGTCAGCTTTTGATACCTTTCGTATGCGATATTGATGACTGCCTAACTTTTAAGTCCTCCAGAATAATATTACTGATATCTGTTTCGTCGAAGTACTTTTCAGCTCTCGTTATGGTTGCTTTGCAATGGCTTCTTCAATTCAATTTTAACTTTTTAAGCTCTTCTGCCGCCGTTCTATACTTTTTTGTATGTGTTTTCGATTCTCAACTCTTAGATGATTCGTATGATTCTGCAGAATCAGACATCTAGGTTTGAAACCGTGTATAAATATGTATTTTGTATAAAATTGACAAGAACTTGGCTGGAAAACGCACTCACAAGTTGCAACACGTGGTGATGGTTTTCGCGCGGCGATGGTGTTGCTCAGTATTTGCACCCTTGGCCGCTCTGTGCTCTTGGCGTCGTAGTCAAGTGTGAGCTTGATCTACACATCCTTGCTTAAACCAGCTGTAGAAGTCCTGCGAGCAGCTTATGAACACCGAAAAAGTAAAAAATAACCTTTACTTGAATTAGTTGTAGAAAAAAAAACTTGCGAACGAAACGTCAAACTTCATGAATTTTTGTTCGAGGTGCATTGCTGGGTTGCATGCAATCTGCACCCAACTAATAGAACATGGTTCAGTTGGTCGTACGATTCCATACCTACACGTAATACATCCAACTGTAAATATGCAAAACCAAAGATGGCCAGGGTGAATTTCACTTTCCGAATTTCAATGGCACTTTTTGAGTCATTTTCGTAAAACCTTTTTTTCTTTTGGTTTTAAGGTCTTAAGGTACAAATAAGTTCAAGCACTGTCAATAATTATAAAATCACAGAAATATTTAAGTTAAATACAACAAAAAACGATATTTTAGGTCACACGAATGAGATTGCAGTAACACGAATTATTTTCTCATAAACATAAATGAGAAAGACGGCACAGTAATGAGAAATTATTATTACAACATACATTTAATCGTTCAAAAAAGAACATTTAACATCATTTAACATGTAACAAATATTTTAATATAACTTCTTATATCAAAATCCTTCTCATCTGTGTAAGACCATCTATATGTAATTAATAAATAAATCTAAACAAGTATTTTGTTAATGTCATATAAACTTTGTTGTACATCAATATTCATCATCACCACCATCAACATCGTCATCATCACCACCATCATCATCGTCACCACCGTCATCAACACCACTATCACCATCTAATTGTTATATTTCAAGTAAATGTTTGGCTTAAAGTAACTACTTGACTTAAAAGTAGACAAGAATGAGAGCGACAATAATGATATTGTTGAGATTGATATTGTGTAAAATAT